AGGGGAGGAGAACGGCACTCATTGAGCCCTACACTGGACTGCTCACCCGGACTTGGAAATATGTAGTTTGAGTGAGCGGACGCGTAGCGCACGCTTGAATAGCAGCGCTCAAAGAGGAGGAAAGAACCGCTCTGACTAAGCTGCGAATAAATCACATTACTGTAACAAGCGAAAATGTTCTTTTAGTTGTGATAATACTTTCAACTATACAACACAACTATTTAGTACACCCCGAGCACAAGCTCACAAGCTGCTTGCGTGACGGCTTGACGTGAAGTCGTGCGGGGAATAGGTTTGGGGGGGAGGGGGGGGGTGGGAAGAGAGGGGAGGAGAACGGCACTCATTGAGTCCTACACTGGACTGCTCACCCGGACTTGGAAATATGTAGTTTGAGTGAGCGGACGCGTAGCGCACGCTTGAACAGGAGCATGCAGCAGGAGTGTAGGAAGCAACTGCTAGCGAAACTGCAAGCTAATTCATATTAGCAAACTAAAATGTTGTTTTGATTGTAATTATTTCCGACCAACTTATACAACATAACCTTTTGTACACTGCAAGCCACTTCAGAATCTTCTCGCGCGGAAACTGGACGAAGCCCATGGAGGCTGGCGAGGCGAACCAGTGGGAGGGTAGCGCATGGTATACCAGAATCACCGCCGCTCCCCTTTGAGCAGGCGCACGCAGCGACTGTGGAGCGTCTAGGAGTGTGATAGGGCGAACAGAAGAGGGATCGACCGTATGCAAAACTGGCGAACCATTACATGTTGCAGTATCAAATAGTGGCAGTGATTTGATCGCGATAAAACACAAAATAACCTCACCACCATTCCATACACCGTACTAGCGTTGAAAATGCAGGTATGATGCTATTGTTCAGAGAAGTTGAACATCTGCTCACATAAAAGAAAAGCCGGATACTAGCTGGGTATTGAAATATGTGGAAAAAGGCAAGGGCGGCGGTTCTGACCCCGCCCGGCGAAGCCGCTTATATCTCGGAAGGACGCGCGCCGGCATCAGCCGGCAAAGCCGGCTGGTAAATAATGAAAGAGGCAAGATTCATCGCCCGAGAGTCAACATCAGGAAAAATTTCTTTCCCAAGTGCAATTTCTCACAGAGCCACATAGACCCCCCCCCCCCCCAGCGGAAAAACACGACCCCCCACTCCCCCTATGTGTTTCACACACCATTGCTGCTTACCTGCGCACCATCGAATACCAACTCCCGTCGAAAGGATTTCGATGTTTGTGGCTGTCGGTGACCCATCATTGATTGACACCACCTTCCCCATTGGGCATGCTGTACGACCAAAATTAGTTTGTCACCCATTCAGTGGTGGGCACGACCTTAGTCGCGAAGGGATTGAAAAATTATGTAAAAAGGTGTTCGATAACTTCATATAAATGAGGCCTCAATCATCAAACTGAATTTTAAGTAATGACGGATACGAAGATCGAAGACTTACGATTGCCACCCACAGTTGTCAGCCGAATAGTTGACAGGGCTATCGGACCAACGGGATCGGTGTCAAAGGAAGCGCGGACGGCTATAGCTCGTGCTGCATCTGTAAGTCTTTCCTTCATTTTTTTTTTGCGGGAATCGATTCTACGTAGCCATAGTCATAAGATAAGGTGTATGCTATGAAAGTTGTTGCGAGCTGATAAGCTATTGCCTATCACCATGTAAGGTCCCGAGTTTGACACGGGGATGTCGGCGTCACGTTGCTGAGATCAAGGTTTTCCGAAGGCGAAGATGCTGAAATGTAGGCCTAAAAAGCCATCCAATCATGTAAAGGCTGGGCTATATAGAGGACGGTTTGCATGGTTGATCCCCCTCCATCTTTTCCATCGTGGGAAGGAATTCTTGAAACCTTTTGGTTTTGCAGCAATGGAAGCTAGTAAGGGAGACTGTTCTTGAATAATAACTGAACTGATGTCAAGGCTGGAAATTTAAGGTATTCATCCTCAACGTCACTTCTTATGCAAATGATTATGCTTTAACGAAGAAAAGGAAAGCTCTATCACCCGAGGATATATACCAGGTTAGCTGTTTTTCTCGGAAGAACAACTTTCTCTGAATTGTAGTGATTCAATTCTCATTTTCTGCCTCACAGCTGGGTCTTTTCTTGAGAGTATGCAAGACGAGTTTCGCCAACTTTCTTTCAGTTGTAGTATATTTTGCCGTTTCTTTCTTAGACTCTGCCATTTTATCATTACCAAACCTGTACCTATATTGGCGGTTTGAAGGTGGGGGAGGGGGAGCATTTGCAGGTTCACCAGTTTTCTTTGTAGTTCCTCTTAACCTACACCTCTCACCTTGGTAGGACCTGTTTGGTCTTGTCAAGTGTAAACGGGTGCTTTTGCTATTGCGTAGCTCTACAAGAGTTTACGGGTCTTCACAGGAGGCATCGGGGATCGATGAAAACCCAGGAAAATGTCCCCACCAGGCTGAAATGCACTTAGTATTCTTCCCTATGGGACCGTAATGGTTTTGCAGGTTTCTAGGAGTTGAACTATTGTGTGTACGTTTCAGGCTCTTCAAGTAATCGAATGTGATCACATCGTTACTCCATTAGTGGACGAGCTTGAAGCATGGAAACTGAATAAGGTAAACTTCTTATTTCCCAGGGTACAGTATCGGGATGTGTGAAATGGTGGTATAGAGCGACACCCCCCCCCCTTGAGAGGGTGTCAGTACGACCTCCCCCTCCCCCATGTGTTTCCCACAACGATGCTATACCCTGCTTCCCAGTAGCGCCAATAACCTTGGGTCAGGGAGCATTCATTGTACTCTTTGTGCAAACCTAGGATAACATCATCCGAATAGTTTTTCTACGCCGTCTCCTCCAGACTTGGGTAAAAGTCTTTATGTCCGCTACTCCACTTTTCAGTTTTGCACAAGGAGTCACTCCTTCTCCCTCAAGGCTACTAGCGCCGGAGTCAGTGTATAGGGTACAAGACAGGCTAAAGGAGGAGGGTACAAGACACGCTAGAGGAGGATAGTATGGGATTGTTGTGAAGCGTGCGTTGTTAGTATTCACTGCACCCCCCCCCCATCCCCATCCTGCACCTGGCTACTTCTTCTGCTGTGTTCATTGTCTACCTTAGCCACTTTTGGTCAGAGAAGCTTCCAGGGGGCGAAAAGTTGGGTGGTGGTGCATTTGTATTGAGTATCAGGACAGCGTCTCTAGGGAGCTATCCAACCACGGCCTGTTGCTACCGCGCTACAGGTTCGCAGGTATTATAGAGTACGTTGATCATAGTGCCCTTCAGTCTTCAGTGGAAGTATCCGCCTGCTTGAATGGCGGAAGTAGTGAGCTTGTTTTC